TTTGTGCTTATATGAAGCGGCAACAGAGAGGCATCTTCCTGGTCTGTGAAACTTTAGAATCCACAAGGCACATTATCTCATCTTCAAACAACCCAGAAGGTGTCGCCATCATCCCCTGCAGGAATGCCAACTGGCTCACCGACATGCAGTGTTGCCCAGAGTCACACAAGTTGACAGCAGCGAAGTGACAATGCAAACCACACTGAGCATCTCTTAGGTGTCTGGCAGCATGCTATCGCCAGGGTCTCAAGGGAAAATAAAATTCAGCCTGGCCTCCTCGTCCTAGGTCACAGGATCTTTCCTGTGCTTCAGTTGGGGCTGGGGGAAGCTCTATGACTCACATGACACCGATGCCCCCTACCACACTCTCTAGGGGTCACCGACTCTTACAACCCTTGCTCTGTCTGGCTTGGCTGCAGAGCACATAGTCAGGGACACAGGACCCAGTGTGGTTGCCCATGGAGGTTCTCCCTCTCCCCGCCATGCGGAAGAAGGTGACCGCCAAGTTTACCCTTAGGGCCTATTAGCCACATCAAGGAAACCCTGGGTTACTGCCCACCCTGCAACCCGCTAAGGAAAGGTTCATTCACCAGGCTCCCGAGGATGAGCTGAGGCAATGTCTGAAGTACCTGACACACAGCAGGCAGGCACTTAATGAGCCTGGAGTCTCTGTCTGAAGCACAGCAGTACAAGCGCACAAGTCAAGCAATACTGGTAAGAGCCATATATGGGGTTATCGCATAACATGTTTTACATATACATATACATTTTACATTTACATAAACATATACACACATATATATGTATATATGTAAACCTCTCTGTAATCTCCGTCCTTCCTAACCCTGTAACATAACACCTGGCATTAATGGTCAGCACCCTAGTGAAACCACCACCGTTTCCAAGGGGACCAGTGACCTCTCATCACAACTGTCAGCCTCTCTGCTGTCTTTGGCCACTGACACTCTGCTTCCTGCTCATCTCCCTCTTGAAAAGGTCCCCATCGTGGGGTTCCCATCTTCTTCCTCTTCAATGGCCCCTTCTTGGCTGGCTGGCTCTTTTTCCCTTTGCCTAGGTGAAGTCTGGTATAATGCAGAGATGAGGAACTCCGATTCTAAGGTCAAACCACCTATTATCAACTGTGTGATCTAAGGCACACCCTTCCCTTCCAGGTCTTATCTGCAAGTCAGAGAGAGTGAAAGTGCCTACACCCAACTCATAGGGCCGTTGGGCCTATGAGATGAAACGACACCCATCAGGGGCTGCGCCCTGTGTCTGGCAGAGCGAGCACCTGACGTTTGCTGGGAGGCATGCTATATACGAGCATCCTCAAGGGAAGAAAAGACCCGAAAAGAATATAGTGGTGACAAAGTGGTAAAATTACAGGTGATGTTTTTTCTCTGGTCCCCCAGTTTTCAAAATTGAGGCTGTGAGGTCACACAGACACATGGGCAGAGAGGAAGAAGAGAGGAGGAAAGAAAGGAAAGTAGCAGAGGCAGAGAAAATGCACCTCAGAGTTCATGATTACAAGTCACCCAAAGGCTGAAAAGAAAAACAAAAGGGCAGAAAAACAGAAACGACTCCCAAATCCCTAACTCTTCCTCTGTGCGTGGAGTCCCACTTCCCAAATAGGAATAGATTGCAAAGGATGGCTATGGTTTTCAGAAGAAAAGGCAAGTGTCCAGGAGAAGCAACAATCATAATGTCTGAAGTATACACACGCTAGTGAAACCACACCCCGTGGGAGAAAAACAGAATCCCACTCAGAGACACAGAACGCCAGAAGCGTACGCAGTCTGAGGCACAGCCAAAGGGAGGACATCTGTGTGAGTCCAGTCCTTTCACTGAAAATTGCTGAAACAAGACCTTTGATACCAGAGCTGCCGGATGTGGTGGCGTCATCAGATGTCCTCTCTCCCTCAGCTGTATTCCTTGGCTAACCATGCTGGGGAAAGCTCTCTGGCTGCAGGGTCATGAGACATGAGAGGATGTGTGTGCTGGGGCTGCTGGGGAAAGGTTTCCTCCTTGGTAAAGGGCACAACTGAGAAGAAATTCCCCCTCCTGCTTTTGGATACAATGGGAGGAGAGAGGATGTGATGTCTAAGACTAGCAATGGCAGCCATCTCGGTACCATGAGTTGGGCTTGAGGATGAGAAGGAGGAGAGAAGGAACCTGAGTTCTTAGTAATCATTACCTCACCAGGAATCTGCTACTCCTGGCCTTTTTATGTGGGTTAATGAACATCCTTAATGCCTAAGCCACTATTAATTGGGTATTTGTTACTTTTAGGCAAAAGCATCTTAGAATTATTCACATAGCATTTGGTGAGCTGATGTGTTAGGAGGGATATCTAAATGGAAACACCCACAGCAATCAGAAATGGCAGAGCTACAGCTCTGTCTTAATAGATGCCAATCCAAATGACAAGTATAAAATAAGCAAAAGGTAAATCACCTTTTTCCTCCAGCTTTTAGCTTCTTTTTTCCCCCTAAAGTGAGAAGAGACACTGAAATGCTCAGTTCTGCCACTCTAACACTCATAATACATTTGGCCAGGTTTTCCAAGTAGAATCCTCACAGCAAATTTCTATGAATTAGGTCAATATTTCACCTAGAGGATATTTTCTTCACCTACCTCCCAAAGTACAAAAGTATCAGAATAAATGTAACAGAAATTTCATGTAAAAAAGTATATAAAATAAGAAAGGTTGTCCTACAGCAACATTAAAAAATATTTGAATTCAACATTAAAATGAAAACTACTCTTGTAATCTCAGATTTAGAAATAAGAATTTTTCAGCATCCCTTTCACTTCCTTCCTGAGCAAAATTTTTAAACTGAAAATTTTCAAACTAGGATTTGCTGGGGTTTGGGTGGGGGAGGGACACACACAAAGGTTTTTCAGAGACAATACTCTTCAGGAATGAAAATTTTGAATTGATTCATGATCTTTACATATGAAATGCCCCTTCAGTCTTATCAGATGGGATTTATAATGTTTCATAATAAAGTTATGAATACCAACATCAGAAGTCAGTAATTAGACAATAACACCTTCTTGAAAAATGAGAGAAATACAATCTACCTTAGGTCTCTTTCTTCTATGAATTCATTAGCCTTTCACATAGGGAATTTAAACAGACATAGGGTATATTTTAGTCTACACTTTAAACAAAATAAAAAACCAGGCACATGAGAACAAGTTAAACAGTAGGCCTCCGAAAGCAACGCTTGCTAGGATGGCACTTGATTGTGGAATTGCTGCAGATGAGCAGAAAATTACTAACTATATAACATGGTGAATATAAGCAAAAAAGACAACTTGAAACAAAAATAAAACACAGAAGTTATTTCCATTTCCTCCAAATAAAACGCATGTCCACATGAAAGAAATTTCGCCACTGCAACATATTTTCCTCACTGAAACTGAGAAAGTTTTCAGCCTGTGTTTACAACAACACGGTTGCTGTGGAAATAGCTGATTCAAGGTTATGAATTTACAGCTTAATAAAGTAAGGTGTGGAACAGAAATCTTATTTAAACAGTGGCAAGAACCATAAAACATTAAAAAGGCAAACTGAATGATGGTGAATCAGAGCACCATATGGTTTGACGTAGGGGTCATACATTTTCCCGTGGCGCCTGACACAAATAGGATGTTTCTTTTTAATTTAATCCTATTTTTGGAAACCTCTAATCATCTCCATCATCCCAGTAAGTTTTACTATCTGCTTCTGTCTACACAATGCAGTGTGTATTTTATTAAACTGACTCTGCTGAGGACAGAGTTTCTAGAGTCCATCCCTTGCCAGAACACGCACAAGTGACGGAACCAACAGAACACAAGTCAGGGCTTTGAAAAACGTCTGCATGTAACTGATTCTATTAAATAGAGTAGTACGGACTTATTCATCACACGACATCACTTCAGGCTTAGGTTTCAAGACTCTTTACAAACTCTCCAAGAACCGAAGTTGTCAGAGAATGTTCCTGAGCGCCCAGTTCCACTCCACATCCTGCAGCCCAGCCCCCAACCCCAGCACTGTTATCACACCTTGAATTTGTTCCTCCACTTCTATGGGTCAGGTAAGAGTTCTCCAAACAATCTTGAAAATCCTTAAGACACTTTATATAGAAATGATGTGAATTATTTGAATCCTACAAGCCCCCCCCACCCCTAGCTTCCCTTTCTGCTTGTTAATTGGAGAAACACTTTTCTTTAAATACACACAACTTTACCAATATTTTCCTCTGCTATTCTGAACATCTCAAATTATGACAAATATTTTGAAGCCAGAAATCTTACCCTTTGTAAAATAAAACATTTATTTAAAATAAAACATATTCATCCTTTATTCAAGATTTAAAAATGATTGTTACGTGTGGGGCTATTAGAAAAGGAAAAACAGTGACTTTTCCACCCTTAGGAGGAGTGAACGGAGTCTGTAAACAGAAACCCAGATTCCCTCGGCAGCTCGTGGTGCCGAGGGTGCGGCCGCCCTCCTCCTGTGCACAGGAGATCAATTCATACCAGCAAAACCGGAAAAATCACAACGGAGAGCAACTGTGGAAGCAGCGAGAGCCAAGAGCAGGACGTAGAGGAGTCTGACTTTCTGCTAGGTGAGTCACAGGAAGCACTCCTGCCCGAGTCAGGAGGCCCGCCGTGCCCATCTCCTTAAGAATGTAGGTCAAAGCTCCCTGGGCTTCATGCCCCAGGGATCCAAGGGGAAGGGCTAGGGCCCCAAGTTTAGAGGCAGAAGCCCAATTCCTAGGGAGCAGGGAGGCCAGCCACTGGCCTTGGCCTGCCCTCTAACTAAGCCTCCACTTTCGACAGACCACAGCAAACTCAATCGTTCCAAAAGTGAACACACTGGAGTTCCGGGCTAGCTCTTCTTACTGTCTGGCTTTGGGCTGTGTCATGTATTCTCACAAGGGCTCACAGGAGGAAAGGCCGTGCAACCAGCTCAACTTGCGTTTGTATATAGTGGACGCTCAGCTCACCCAGCTCTGTTGACACGGGGGACCCGGTGGCAATCTCACCAATCTTGGCCACTCCATCGTAGTAGGCTTTCCCCGCAAGGATCATAGCTAGACAGGGAAGGTGACACACAAAAGTCATCACTTAGACAAAGAAAAGAGGAAGTGCCATGGAGGTTTGCTTCCAAATATCCCTCAGTCCCTTCTGGCTACAGGAAGGTTTGGGCTGCACCAAGGGTGGCTCTCAGAAGGCAGGGCTTGCGCTTAATAGCTGTGCCAGGGGCAGAGGTCCCTCCACTGCACTTTCAGAGGCCCCCACTGGGTGGAAAACCCTATAGGATCCTCACCTTAGACCAGACCTGGGGAACCTTCAACAGCAGGCTCTGGAAGTCCAGAAAAGGCCCTGCCAGAGTGGATATGTTTTCAACATCAAATTAGGGCTACAAACACATCCACTTCCACAAGAAATCTCTTCTCAGATGGTTATTCTACAGCTATACGGGTCTGCAACATTAATTAGTTAAAAGAACTTGTATGCGGTGGCCCAGGAACATGGTCTTTCAATGGCTTTTCTTTTTTTTTTTTCTTTCTATTGAAAAAGGTATTCCGAGCCACAACCAATAATATATTTGTTGTCAGGGGGAAAATCTATGAAATTTGAAATACGTTATCATCCTAAAAACACAACAGAATTACCTGGAAAGTAAGTGAAGGTTCTATCCTCCCCCCACCACCTTTTTGGCAGAGACAAGGGGAACTTTTATTTCTGTAGAAATTGGATTCTAATCATCTTAAAAATAATCTCTTCTTTCAAATTGATTCTGATGACTAAATTATAAGGTACAAAAATTTCTTTTTGATTTTTCTTTTCCATTCTTTTTCTCTGGGGAGGGGAACTGGGGGCAAGAGAGACCTGGGTTTGAATTCTACTTTTACTTCTAATGACATGACCTCCTTGGGCAAGGTAGCTGTCCTTTCTGAAACAAAGGATGGTCATCTATAAAATGTCCTAATAGCGTGAGCACTGAACAAACAAATGGAAGCTATTAATACGGATTCCTTCTTTCACTTTACAACAAGCAGGCTTTTTAACAAGACCTAGCCTATTTAGGGTGATTTTGAAGAAAATTTATTTTACTTCAAAGACTAACTTTGAAGAATACAGAATTTTGGAGCTAAAAGAGCCCTTAGGGATCTCTAAGATTCCTTTCCTTTTACTGCAAAGAAAACCAGAGGCCATGCCAACTGCTTTGCCCCAATTTTATAATGGGTATTGTTTTAAAATGGTGAATTAAAAAGGCATTTCAAATATAAAAAAGGTGGGAGGTCCACAAAACAAATTCGGTACAAGTCCAGCTGAAGGTATTACTGGCCAAAAAAGTAGTATTTTCATGGCAAATTCATTCATTTTAGCCTTTCTTGTTGAGTTAAAATATTACAGAAGTTACGGCTTTTACTATACATGTGTACAAGTTTAACAACTGTACCACGCTCTATTATACAGTTATTTCATAAATCTGAGAATAACTTTAAAGTATAATTGTAAATAAGAACAATAACAAGTAGCATTTATGTGGACTTTCCAAGCCATTACTTAAGTTCATCTCCCCAAGAACATGGAGACGTGGGTCAGTGGTAGTCCCACCCTGTTTCATGAAGGACTGGAGTGGAGATATGCGGGCACATGCCCAAGGTCAGTGGCAAATCAGAGGGAGTACGCATACAACTGCAGTTAAGGTCACTCCCCAGTTCTAAATTATAGTGCTTTTTGACTCTTTGGTCTCAGCTAGAACTGAAAGAGAGAGGACTCCACCTAAAAACAAGGTTGGTAGCCAATAAACTGTCAAGCTAATACATGTAATATTTTAATATGAAGACTTTAAATTGTAAGATACTGATAAAGCTGAAAGGCAGATAGGTGGGAGAATGGCATGCAGATTGACACAATATATAAACAAAATTTTTGGTTTGCATTCACACATTATGTTGAAATTTTTCATTAACGGATGATTTATGTTTTTAAAACTAACCTCAGAATGGTAAAATTCCCTTGCTTTTACGATAAAGTGGAATTAACTTTAAAAACTATATAATTTATCCAGAACTTAATAAAGAATCAAACAATATTCTCATAATTTTGCCATCCCCTTTGTGACTACATTAAGAGATTTTCTATCACTTACTGTTTTAAGAACAAAGCATATTTGTTCTATTTTAGTGGTTGACCAATCAATTCAATCTAATTTATATACTTCTACCAGATAACTCTTCCTTAAAATATGATTTCATTAGGTTAAAACTCTGCTCAAAAACTTTTAATGGCCTCCACTGCCCACAGCGTAAGCCCACACTCCAGAGAGTTCATGATAGATTTGTACAGTAATGGCCTTCAATAAACCGCACCTCCCAGAATTCCCAACCTCTGTAGCTGTCTATACACTGATGGGTGGCTTGGTCATCTGACTTGCCTTGGCCAATGGGGTGCCAGCAAGCATAACTCTCACAGGGATTTGCACTCTTCGAACAGCCTGCTATGTCCCCGGGAGGGAGGGAGTCCAGCGCCCCTGCTGACTGCAGCTGCAGGATTGAGTCCCTGGGGGCTAGAGAACTGCACTACCTTTACAAGACCTTGAGAAATGATAAACTATTGTTGTCTTAAGCCACCAAGTTTAGGGACACTTGATTATGTGACAATAGGTAACTGATGCTGCATTCAAATGCATTCATAACCTGACCCTACTCCACGCTGTATTTTATTATTCCCCAACAGCTTCCCACCCATGGCAGTGTGGACCTCAGATCTTGGCTTGGATGCGGTCTTTTCTGCCTGAAACCTAACGTCTGTCAGCTAGCAGAGCTCCTACAAGGCCCACTGCCTGCTCCGTTCCCCACCAACCTCCACTACTCAAATTCCTGTGACACAGCTCATTCCATGCTCTTTGTTAGCTGTGCATGTTGTCCTGATTTACCTAAGTGTTGACTGCACATCTGGTATCCTAAACTATGCCACAAATTCTTACCAAGGACTTTACCAATTCATCTCGATTTCTCAATGGCTTCAGAAAAAAAACAGATGGCCTGCCAAAAATACTGGAAATACTTTAGAAGTGCAGAATAGTCCCTTTGGGGAGAAGCCTTGTTAGCGAGAGACTAAGGGGCTGGCAGGTCCCTGAGTCACCTTATAAAACTCTGCCTCAGAGAGACAGCAAGTGCTAGAAAGAAAAAAAACCACTGCAGGTCATGGTGATTTCCTTCACAGGGCATCTAAGGCAATGACTTTGTGGCCCTGTGACTAAGCAGTCATCAAGGGAGAGGCAGCTGTGCAAGAATTCTAAAACAAGTCTCCTTCCTGCTCTTTGAAGGGGTGAGGGGTTACCTACAGAAGTCACTGATACTGCTTGGGGGATGAGGGAGGATTTCCCAGCACTGAAAATGTCTGGCAAACAGCACAGAGATGCAGAAGAAAGTAAATAAGCACTTTACTTTTCCAGGACTATGACAACTGGGCACCTGTCACCCAAACTCCAGCTACCATACCGCCTTTTCCTGGGGCATGCTTATGCTGCGGGTGTGTGAGGTCATGGGTTTATTTTCAAAATCTCAAGAGGGAGCAGCCAAAGGCGGGCCATGGTGAAAGGGAGAAACAAGAGATATATAAAAGACACAAAACTTGATCTAAAACCATTGGAAACTAAATTTTCTACTCATGTTATTGGTGGTCTTAGTGAACCAGGGTAGAGGGTGAAACTGGGGTCTGAATATTTTGGGGGTGACATTTGTTACATAAGGAGAATTGTTTTGACCATGTTAGAATCTGGTGATTATTAGCATCTCAAGTTTTTAAGGTGATCATTGATAACATTCACCTTTTAGGAGGGAAATGCATGTGTAGATGCATGTCAGCTTTCTCAATGAAACCTCCTGAAACTAGCAAACAAGTCTGGTTCACAAAAGAGAGGCAAAAGCCAATGCTTGAATTCATTTTACAGGAAGAGCTCATTTTGAAATGAGAATCTAAGTTCAACCTTTAATTTAGATGTTTTTCCATTCAGGTTAAAAATCTGTTCATATCACAATCAAAAGTTATGCACCCAAAGGCAAGAAACTCTTCTATATAAAGAGAACAATTCCTCTGCTACAAGATACTAACAAATATTTTAAGTACATACTAGTTCACAAAGACTTTGGTTTGCCAAGTGGAAAACCTACTGACGGCAATGATATAAAATACGAGTCATGTCAATAACCATGATTTGATCATTAAAATGCATCACTTATAAGTCTATGATTCCATTTATTCATTTCAAATACACCAATATCCTATCGTTGCAAACTTCCATAGAATTAAATGTAAATAATTTCTATCAACTTAAAGACACTTTAAAAATTCACTATTAAGCACTTCAAAATAATTAAAATATTTACTGGTTTTTATATGTGCACTATATTTATAAATTTAGAAAAGAGACTTACCATTAACAGCTTTTTCATAATTTTTTCCTAGGTTTATTAAATTTCGTAGCCCAGGATTGAACTGTTCCATAACATTCTGACAAATAAAACAAAACAAATTAATAAAATAAGCAAACAGTAGATCAAAAAATCTTTAGATGTTACCACTACATAGCCTGGGATACCTGTGTATGCTTGACAGTAGAGTCTACAAAGCCATGAACGTTTATTTCAAAATAATGGAGAGCACATATTTCCTTACGGATGGAACAGGGTCCCTGCACCAGCAAGGCACGTAATCCCGGCAGGTTTCCATTGCCCAAGGGCTGCCTAGAACCTACTGCAATGGAGCAAGTGGCAGATATGCATACCTACGAAGCACACCCAGGGGCTACGGGCCCAGAAGCCGATGCTCCCTTTGGGGTTTAAGCAGGTTAATGGCTGTCAGGCTAATGTTAAAAACAGGTGCACATGATCGAAACTTAATTATATGAGCCATGTTTTGGTGATCAATTGAACAGAAATTTCTAAGAGATCTTGTTTATTCATTAAGTACTCAGCTATTAACCACCGAGTGGTAGGTCCTGTGCACACAGTAGATGTGAAGGCCTGGTTTCCCTCTCATGGATTTCATGATGCCATAGCTGTGCAAATGTCATGGTTTTCATTTTTAAAAGTGTCATTCCTGTGGCACTAGAAAGTCATAAACATAGAGACAAATGCTACAATAAGTACTAAGACAGGCAATTATTTGGAATGTTGATCAAACTTAAAATATCCTAAATCAAAGTAGAGACAATAGATCATTCCTGTGGGGCTCTAACCTCTTGACTCAGAACACATGGCGACTGAACGTATTTGCTCCACCTACAAATAATGAGCTTCACAGTATTAATCATTCCAGATCGACCACTCAAGTCTCCTTACCCCCTCTCAAAATGTGAACCTGTTTGCAGAGGGCCAGGCAATAAAAAGAATGAAAAATACCCAACATTCAAAGGGGCAGATACTTGATATACATGCTCTGCAGGATAAAGTTTCTCCTTTATAAATCAGTACAGAGAGAACACAGTAACTCTTATTTTATCAAACAGTGATAAAGGCTTATCATGAAAAACAACTCCTGGCTCAACCTTCCCTCAAATCTTAACTTACTCCCAAGAGCACTTTCAACTAAGCTGTTATTCTTGTATTTATTGCCATAGTTTGGGATAATATTCTTGATTTTTCAATTTTGGATGATAACTACTGGCTTTCTACCACAGTAGATGAGAGCTCAGCTCTCCACACCACCCCACTTTCCCTACTTCAATCCTTCCTATATAAGTAAACGGCAATTTCCTGGTAAGTCGATAGTCAGGGTTTATTATGACTCTGTAAATATACAATACAAGGAATGTACTAAGGATTATGTTTCCTTTCTTGGTACAGTCTTTGTTTCTCCTGGGATTAACAATCATTTCATCCCCTTCCTCCCAGCTTAGTTTTCCATGAATCCACCTTAAATTTTTCCACATGCTCTATCACACCTAGCAGAAGTCTATCAGTATTTTTCAAATGCACAAAGTTGTCAGCTAATCTTCCATTCCATTTTCCCCCCAGAACTTCCTCCAAGGACTCTCCGTCCTCTTGCTCAGTCTGGCCTGACTGTCCCTGCCACGCTGTTACCCTTGCATGTCCCCTTCTTGATCCCTTGTGTTAGAGCTCTCATTAACTGGACTCCACACCTTCCTCTTTCTTCATTTATTCCTATTTGCTGGAGATCATTCTCCAAGAACCACCTAAGAAATGATGCATAAGAGGTAAATGTGAGTCCCCATGTGTCTGAAATTATCTTTACCTTGACATTTGACTGATATTTCTCTGGGTAGAGTATTACAAAGCTCAAGTGATTCTCCCTTAGAATTTTAAAGATAATTGCTACACTATTTTTAACATCCAGTTTTGCTATTGAGAAGTCAGCCGTCATTTCTTCTTCCTTTGTATAGGACTTTGGTAGGGGGATGCTTATTTCTGGAAGCCCTGTATACCACGTAACGGTCTGTCTCAGTGTGGGACTTCGTTCATTTATTTTACTGGGCACTTGATACACCTCTTCCATATAAAAAAATTATGTCCTTTAGGTCTGAAAAATCTATTTTAAATGTTTCTTATCTCTCCTTACTTTCTGGAATTCTGACAAGGATTTTACATATCCTGATTTCTTCTCTAATCATTTTACCTTTTTTTCCACTTTTTGTTCCCCCATCTCTGACAGATAACTTCACATTCCAACTCTTTTATTATGTTATTTCATTTTTTAAGATTTATTTTGGGGAGAGGGAGGAAGAGAGTGCGTGCCAAGAGCAGGGAAGGGCAGAGGGAGGAGAGACAGAATTTCAAGCAGACTCCTCACTGAGCATGGAGCCCATGTGGGGCTGGATCTCATGACCTGAGCTGAAACCAAGAGTCGGGCGCTTAACTGACTGAGCCACCCAGGCGCCCCCATTGTTTTTTTTAAAAAACTTTTGATACTGTATTTTTAATTAGGGCTCTTTCAGAGTTTTAGTTATCCCCTTCCGCCCCCGTTTTTCTTGAGGATTTCAGAGGGAGCAAGGGAGCATGGGGGAGGAGGGGCAGCAAGTGAGCATGAAAGCAGGGGGAGGGGCAGAGGGAGAGAAACTTCAAGCAGACTCCCCACTGAGCGCAGAGCCCAATGCAGGGCTCAATCCCACGACCCATGAGGTCCAGACCTGAGCTGAAACTCAGAGTTGGATGCTTAACCAACCAAGTCAACCAGGCGCCACTGGTTATTCCTTTTTAAAAGCATCCTATTCTTGGGGCGCCTGGGTGGCTCAGTCGGTTAAGCGGTTGCCTTCAGCTTGGGTCATGATCCCGGGGTCCTGGGATCAAGCCCCGCATCGGGCTCCCTGCTCGGTGGAGAGCCTGCTTCTCCCTTTCCCTCTGCCTGCTGCTCTGCCTACTTGTGCTCTCTGTCAAATAAATAAATTTAAAAAAATAAATAAAAGCATCCTATTCTTGTTTTGTGAATGTAATATTGTCTCTAATTTGAATAAACTGAAAGTAATATTTTTTTGTCACTTTCTTCCAGTTCCCTATATTATCTCCTGATTATTTCTTTTCATTGTTCGGTATCCATCCGTCTTTTGTGTTGGAAGCTTTCATCAAACATCTGGTGATCCCTGATCGCCAGTTCGTATTTAAAAGTAAAACCCTAAAATGCTGGCTGGAAGCTTGTGGGTGTGGGTGTATACACAGGGTGGTTGCTGACTAGCAGGCTTCATTAGGAGTGACTGGACAAGTCAGCTATAGAGAAACTGGCCCTGTGACAGTAACCAGGGTCCACTGAGTCTCTTCAGAGAAGTTTCTCATTTTCTATGAAGGGTAGGGGAGGAGGCAGTCACCAGGTGGTCAGCTTTCCCCATCAAGAAGGGGAGTGGGTTGGGAATTCCACAGTTTACTGGGCTGATTTTTACTGAACTCTCCTGCTCTCTACTCCAAGGTTTATTCCCTCCTGCTGGTGTTTCCACATCGAGAACTCCTCTGATTCAATATACCCTAAGATTAAATCTCCAGTCCGCCAGGCAGAGGGAGCTGCTGGTAGTATTGGTGGTTGGGGTAGGAAGGGGAAACTGGCAGTTCAACCAACTTGTGTCACTCCTACTCTAGCCCTGGGTATCCCCTCCATCCCCAGCTTCTGTGGGACTGCTCCTCAGCCTCCGGGGGTGAATGGCTCAGCCCTTGTCAGTTCTCCCACTGCAGATTCTTTACATTTTCTTAAAGCAGCTACAACTCCTCTGTCCATTTTCTATCACTCCAGATTTTCTTAGGCCTTTTGTCAACTGCTAAGTCTTTTTTCAAGCCTTTACACCATGGATTTATGGGGTTTTTTCCCCCCATTCCTTTAAGTTCTGCTATCATTTCAATGTATTCTTAGAAGAAGAAAAAAAAACAACCCATGGTCAATCTGCTGTGCTTAACTGGAAGTCCATTCATCCTATGTTTTTAGAGCCTCTCATCCGTTTGAGCCCCATTCACAACCAGTAGCCATAAAGCCCCAAAGCCAATGATGACTCCCCTACCAGTTTCTCTGCAAGATGGTAAGTCTCAATACCTGATCACAGGGACCTGTGGCCACAGCTGCTATTTCTATCATCTTTTCTCAATTCCCTTGTTTTGCTTTTAAGCTTATTTTGAAATCATTAAACATTCACAAGAAGTTGTAAAAACTGCACAGAGAGTTCAGGTATGCTTCCCTAATGGTAACTTATATAACCATAGTGTAGGATCAAAACCAGGAAACTGACAATGGTACAACACTTACTAAACTACAGACTTTATTTGTATTTACCAGTTTTTATATCACTCATTTGTGGGAGGGGGCGCATTGTTCCTATGAAATCTTACCACATGTATAAATTTGTATAACCATCAGCACAGTTATAATATTGAAATGTTCCATTAACACAATGATCTCCCTCATGCTACCCCTTTATAGCCACACCCTCCCCAACAGTCCTGGCAACCACTGATCTCAATCACTGTAATTTTGTCATTGTGAGACTGTTATATAAATGGAGTCATACAGTATGTGACCTCTGAGACTGACTTTTTCACTCAGCACAACGTCCAGAAGAACCATCCAAGTTGCTGGGTGTTATCCAGAGTCTATTCCTTTTGGCTGATAGTATTCCATAGCATGAATGTATCACAATTTATGTATTTGCCCACTGAACACTTGGGTTGCTTATAGTTTTTTGCAATTGCAAATAAACCTGATATGGACAATCACATATGGGTTTTTTTGTGAACCTAAGTGTTCATATCTCCAGGATAAATATCTAGGAGTTCAATTGCTGCGTCATACAGTAATTATATGTTTAACTTTGTAAGAAACTGCCAAACTATTTTCCAGAGTGTTGTGCCATTTTACATTCCCATCAGCAATGTATGAGATTTTCAGTAATTTTTAAAATTTAATAACTTCATTAGAAAATAATTACTTTTTAATAAAAAGATAAAACTACTTTTCAAATATCTCTTTTAAAATTCTTGTAATAATCTTATGAGACCAAGTCTGGATGTCGAGAAC